GCCCTTTAGATGCATTGTGAGTTCAAGACAAATCCGTTCTGTGTTTGGTTCTCGAGAACAAGAATTTAGGTTAGGTCTTGTGTGTCTTCTGTGGTTTCAATGGAGTTTAAACTATGCTTAAGAAATTTCGGTTGATCTGTCTTAGGATCAGTTTATCTTGAAAAATGCAGTGGATGAAGCTTGAGAAAGCAACCTGTGATTGTGTAACTCACTGGAGTTGAAGTGATACATTGTGCTTGTGTGTTACGAGAGTGCCCAAATACAATATTCGTTTGACCGATGAGAGCTCGATGATATTCTTCCGGTAGAGTCGAGAAGATAACTTATCGTCTATGTGCTCCTTAACTATTCTTTCTGATGTTTAGAAGATAACTTATATCGTCTATATGCTCCTTAATTCTTCTTTATGGTGTTTAGGGGATCTTAAGGATTGAGTTTAATTCGATATCGGTTTCTTTAATGATCAGTGTCTACCATTGAAGCGATAAAGCTTATTGCTTTGAAGTCTTTCTTACTAAACAGAGTTTCACTGACAGTCTTTAACTTTTCCGCCATTTTTAGGTACCGAGCAATCACTAGTGCATACTACCGAGGAGCTGTTGGGGCGCTTCTTGTCTATGATGTAACTCGACACTCCACATTCGAAAATGTAGAGAGATGGCTAAGGGAACTCCGTGACCATACCGACCCAAACATAGTTGTGATGCTAGTGGGAAACAAATCTGATCTTCGCCATCTTGTGGCGGTTCAAACCGAAGATGCTAAATCTTTTGCAGAGAATGAATCACTCTACTTCATGGAAACTTCGGCTCTTGAAGCTACAAACGTCGAGAACGCGTTTTCTGAAATACTCACTCAGATTTATCATGTTGTGAGCAAGAAAGCAATGGAGGCTGGTCCAGATTCAAACTCGGGTAATGTTCCGAAAGGAGAGAAGATTGATATCGATGTCTCCGCTGTGAAGAAAACCGGTTGCTGCTCAAACTAAAGACTTGCTAGTTTCTTGCAGATTGATCGATTTTGTTTGTGTCCTCGAGCTAAATCGGTTTTTTTTCTTTTCTTACATTCAAACTTTTTTTTAAGGATGTTTGCTTTTTTTCTAGGAAACAACATTTGCTTGCTTGAAATTTGCTTAGCTTTGGTTTGGTTTGATCCTGTACCGGTTAAGGGATTTTGTAATTTAACCGGTCTCGGTTTTGTTCAGCTTGTTTTCTCTTATACTTAAATCCGAAAATGTCTCTAAACCAATGTTATTGAGCTAATTCTTGACTACAACAACTAATTTTGTTGTATCAATTTAAAACTAATAATCAAAAATCCTAAATTCTCGATCATCGAAAAAATAGATTGATCATGGTTTAGCCTCTAATAATAGAAATTAAAAAAATTAGAAAATTTTGTTTTGTCATTTGACTTTTTCTTGACTTCTAATTTGTAAAAGTAAAAAAGTCTAAAAAATAAAAAAATCGCGTCGTCAGTAACGCCGAAAGAATATTCCGTTACTAAGATGACGGAATCACCCCGTTCCCGCCAAGTAAATAGCCCAAAGAAACCTAACGACAGTAACGGCGAATTCAAACGTCTCTTAGTTCCAGAAACCTCTCAAACAGACCCAGACGAGCTCCGAGAATCGCCGGCGAATCCACCGGAGAATCAGATCGTAACCGTAGAAGAAGACGGAGGCAACACCACCTTCGATTCTATTCCTCCATTCTCATGGGCGAAGCTATGGAAGTTTACAGGACCTGGGTTTCTAATGAGCATCGCGTTCTTAGATCCAGGAAACATCGAAGGTGATTTACAAGCCGGAGCTGTTGCTGGGTACTCGCTTCTATGGCTTCTTCTATGGGCTACGTTAATGGGACTTCTGATTCAACTTCTCTCTGCTCGGATTGGTGTCGCGACGGGTCGGCATCTAGCGGAGATCTGTCGACACGAGTACCCATCGTGGGCGAGAATCCTGCTTTGGTTCATGGCGGAGGTTGCTTTGATCGGAGCTGATATTCAAGAAGTCATCGGAAGCGCAATCGCTCTTCAGATCTTGACTCGAGGGTTTTTGCCGATTTGGGTCGGTGTTATCATTACGGCGTTTGATTGGTAAGCAAAAATTAGGTCAAAATTGAAGAAAATTGTTTTGGTTTTGATGTGTGTTCTTGAGAAATGAGGATTGTTTTGATCGAATTTGATTCTTTAGCTGAATGATTTCTCTGTGGATTTGTGAAAAAACAGTTTCTTGATTTCATATCTAGAGAAGTGTGGAATGAGGAAATTAGAAGGTCTTTTCGCGGTTTTGATTGCGACAATGGCTCTTTCGTTTGCTTGGATGTTCAACGAAACTAAGCCAAGCGTAGAAGAGCTATTCATAGGTAACTTCAAAAGCTAAAGTCTTTTTTTTTACAATGAGGCATATTACCAATTCTCATTTCTTTGTTCTGATGATGACTTGAAAGGTATTATTGTTCCGAAACTCGGATCAAAGACAATTAGACAAGCTGTTGGAGTGGTGGGATGCGTAATAACGCCACACAATGTGTTCTTGCATTCGGCTTTAGTGCAGTCGAGGAAGACAAACCCAAAGGAGATTAACAGAGTTAAGGAAGCTTTGAAATATTATAATATTGAATCAACGGCTGCGCTTTTCGTCTCGTTCATGATCAATCTGTTTGTAACAGCGGTTTTCGCTAAAGGGTTTTATGGAACCAAACAAGCTGATAGTATAGGACTGGTTAACGCGGGACATTACCTACAGGAGAAATATGGAGGTGGGATTTTCCCGATACTTTACATTTGGGGAATTGGGTTATTAGCTGCTGGACAAAGCAGTACGATTACCGGGACTTACGCTGGACAGTTTATAATGGAAGGGTTCTTAGATCTTCAGATGGAACAATGGCTATCAGCTTTTATAACAAGGAGTTTTGCGATCGTACCAACTATGTTTGTCGCTGTTATGTTTAACTCATCCGAGGGATCACTCGATGTGTTAAACGAATGGCTTAACATACTTCAATCGATGCAGATTCCTTTCGCTGTTATTCCTCTTTTGACTATGGTTTCTAAAGAACATATCATGGGTGTCTTCAAAATCGGACCTTCGCTCGAGGTAAGCCTGTTTTTTCCATCTCTCTTTGCTTCTGCTGTAGTTTGCGGTTTTCGATTGTAACGAGTCAGTTGGAATATCTTTGCAGAAGCTAGCGTGGACTGTGGCGGTTTTTGTGATGATGATAAATGGATATCTTCTTCTTGATTTCTGTATGGCTGAAGTGAAAGGTTTTCTTGTCGGGTTTCTTGTTTTTGCGGGAATAATCGCGTACATCAGTTTCATCATCTATCTTGTTTCCTATAGAAGCTCACAATCTTCTTCTTGGTCAAGCTTAGAAATGTCACAGAGAGTTGTTTCCACAGAGACGTAGAAAACCAAAAACTTCTATTAACACTAGAAGTCTTCAACCCTTAAACTCATCTGAGCAAAGGCAGAAGCGGTTTGGTCAATTTCGCTGGATAGTTCGTTCTGCTGCATTTGTGGCTCGATGGCTGGATTCGAGACAGTAGACCAAAGGAAATTGAGATGTGAGATTATGCGAAGATCGAAACGGTTTAAATTTGTAGATTGATTTTGTTGAACTTGTCTTGTAACATTGTAAATGTAGAACAGAATCATTTAACAGACGTTAAGTGATTACTGATTAACCAGAAAGAAGGAAAAAACAGAGAAGTGATACTAATAAATCTCAAAACTTTTTATTCTTGGTTAGTAACTAACCAAGCTCAATGTTTCTAATTAAAAAGCGAATTTCTATATTTTGTTATATTAAGCCCATTAATTTTTTTTATTACGCCCATGTTGAATTAGGGTTAGACAGACGTGTGTATAAAAACTAACCTTATGTTACCTTGATCTTAGCTTTTATTGAAACTTGGAAAAAAAACTGCTTTTATTGAAACTTGGGAAAAAACTAACTAATGAAGAGGATTTGCGATCTTCCAAACGATTTGGTAGGTGAGAATATAAATATACTGACTAAGGTTCCAATAACATCTCTGAAAGCAGTACGATCTACTTGCAAGTTGTGGAATGATTTATCCGACGAGTTGATTGTTGGTAAAGCAACAACAAGGCAGCATGAGTTTCTAGGGTTTATGACAGTGTGGGATAAGGTATGTTCAGTGAGATTCGATCTTCAAGGAATCCGCAATGACGACGATGAAGACTTGGTAAAACCATCTATAAAGCAGATAGCTTTACTTAATCAAGTAAAAGTATCTAAAGTCTTTCACTGCAACGGTTTATTGTTATGTGTCCTCAAGAACAACTCGAATCTCGTAGTTTGGAACCCATGTTTAGGGCAAATAAGGTGGATCAAACATAGCAGATGTTTCCACGGGTCAGACATGTATGCTCTCGGATACAACAACAACCGTAACCATAAAATCTTGTGGATTTCCGGTGACGGTTATTCCCAAGTGGATGGGTTTGAAATCTATGATTTTAGCTCTGATTCATGGAGAGTTATTGATGTCACCCCGAACTTTGAAATGATTTATTACCAACGCGGCGTGACTTCGAAGGGAAATACTTACTTTTTGTCTGAAACACCAGAGAATCATGAAGTGAAATGTGATATTTTGATATGTTTTGATTTTACAAGAGAGAGATTTGGGCCTCTGCCTCTCCCGATTAACTCTTATAACGAGAATGCAACGCTATCATGTGTTAGGGAAGAGCAGCTATCAGTGCTTTTATCATAACTTCTGACAATCTGAGAATTTGGAGATTTGGGTTACGAATAAGATTGAGCCAAACGCGGTGTCATGGAGCAAACTGTATTTGAAGGTTGATATAATACCACTCGTTGGTTTTTTGTTTGATCCGGAAGCTAGTAGCTTCTTCATTGATGAGGAGAAGAATGTCGTTGTGGTTTTCGATCAAAACATAAATGACCACCCGACAAAGAACAATCATCTAAGAGCTTACATCATTGGAGAAGATGGATATTTCAAATCTGTGAGTCTCGAAAAAAATTGTGATTTAAGGTGGCGTAGAACGTTTTCTTGCCCACTTGTGTCTTCTTCTTATCTTCCAAGTTTAGTGCAAATCAACCAACCAGACAAAAGCAAAGAAGAAGATGCTTAGTTTTACTTTTACGTTATGAGTTTCTTGCATGGTCCGGTTCTCATTTTTTTTTTTTTGGTTAGATTTTTGTCCCATTTTTCTCAAACTCATCTACTTCAAGAACTCCGCAGAGTTGTACTTTTTATTCTCTTAGCTTCACAATATTTTGAACACATCGAGTTGTTTCTACACAAACGTAACCAAAACTCTATTAACTCTTGAACCCTAAAACTCATCTGAGCCAATCAATACCAGTGGAAGTTGAGATGGCTTAATTTCGATTTGTGCTTGATGGCTTGATTTTGAGACAGTAGACCATAGGCAACTTGAGATGTGAGATTATGCGATTGATTTGGTAACTTTGTGTAGATAAAACTGCATATCCTCTATATATTAATAGAGGAGAGACTATGTAAAAATCCTATATGTCATCTAAAGAGGAGTTTAAGGAACAATTTTCCTAATAAAAATTATTAAAAAATTTTAATGAAAAATATATGGAAATAACAAATATGTGGTAATTAATATAGAGAATTTTATTTAAAGAATATAGAAAATATTTGAAGATATCTTATTTTATTTTCAATAACTACTAGATACTTTTATCCGATTCAAATGCGGGATTAGAATATTAAAAAACAAAAATTCATGATTATTTTTAGAGAAATTAGCCACTATATTAGTTATTGTCTATATATTTAATTATCTAACATAAAATAAAATTTAATGACTAACACTCTAATTACTTGAGATTCTAATTTTACCCTTATTGTATTTATGGTAATTGATATCATATCTCATCCTCATTATTACTTCAATTAATACTTTATTTTCTTATATCAAATTCTTTATTTCTCATGTTCAAAAATATAATTGAAGATAAATAACATTACCATGTCAACATAAACGTTTTATACTTTTCATTTCTGTTAATTATATATTTATACATGTAGTTAGCTATGTATCCAAATACACTTATCAAGATTTTCTATTTTTATCAATTATATAGTTAGCTATGTATCTAAATATACTTATATTTCTAGTTAATTTTCTTCACAAATAATCAACTATACTTGTTATATTTACGATTAGTTCACTCTTAACTACTCACTCTCTTTGTATTGTGTATATAGTTAGATATATACTAACTATTTTAAAATATAATTACTTATAAATTTTTATATGTAGTCAACTATATACACACATATAGTTATCTATATAGTTAACTTTTTCATAAATAGTTAACTATACTAATTAGTTATTTTTACGAATAGTTTACTATTATCTATATAGTTAAAAATATAAATAACTATATTTAAATGTAGTTAATTACATATTAATGTATAGCTATATATAAACATATAGTTGTATATTAGTTAACTTTATTCATAAGAAAACAACTATATTTGTTATATTCACAAATAGTTCATTATTCAGTTTTACTTGGTATATTTTTACAAATAATCCACTATTTATGTTAATAATACTTAGTTTTTATATAGTTCACTATATCTTATATAATATTTTAAGGTTTTTCTAAATCCAAGTCATGAGAGGATGCCATGTGTCACCTATATTTTTGACATTTGCCTTTTTTATTTATTTATTGAAAAAAAAATTAAGTATTTTTAATAATTTTAACAATTAATTCTTACAATTTAATAGGTAAGTTTAATATAAGTTCATTCCAAAAATTAAATTGTAATATAAAGATGAACAATTTCAGTTTTTTCCTTTCTTTGGTATCCACCAAAAATTATAATTCTAAATTAAATTTGTTATTGTAAATTTTTAACGGTTTGAAAAATATATATTTTATTAAACCCATTAATATACTCTAAAATAAAAATACATTTAAAACTTTAGATAGGTAACTACCATTTTAAAACCAAAAGTCAGAAAAATAAAGTCACAAAAAATTTATAAAAAAAGAATCGTAACATTAACAAAAAAAGTGGTCTGAAAAAATTAATTAGTGATTTTAGGAATTTTAAAGTTGTTAGAATGCTAAAATTGTCAATCATTTCCTAACCAATACTTTCGAAAGGAAATCTTACTCCTCCACAAATTGTGAATGCAGAAAAACATAATAATTCACAAATGAATCGATGTGAAATATAAAAATCGCAGAAAAACGATAAAAAGAGTGAAAAAAAACAAGTCTGTTCAATAATTTTTTTTGTTACAAACGTATTTGATGCAAAATAAAAGACGATCAATGATGTAATAATTTTTTTTATTACAAGCGTATTTGGTGCAAAAGAACGTGAGTTTGGTTAGTATTTAATTGGTCATATATATGACTCTCATTAATTAGAAACTAAAAAAAAATCACGGTACACTAAATAATTTAATTCTAAAATGTATTCGTCTAATCGATAAATAAAATGTGATCGTAATCAGTAAAAAAAATTGCATAGACAAATTGAAAAAAACAAAATAAATTCGAAAAGAACGTACACAAACAAATAAGTGATCAATAAAATATATCCTCATNTGCNCTCATGTTTGATATTTTATGATATGATATTGAANGGCCATGAATGCAAAACTAAAACTATATAATTACGAAGTGTGCAATACTCATCAATATTAGTAGAAAAAAATAATTACTAAAAATTTTTTTGCTAAGATATTTTAAAATAAACTCCACGCGCATTTGCGCGTGATAACCCCTAGTAATTTATATATTCAAAGTCTTAAACAATAATCATTTACTAGAAAAAGAAAAAAAAATGCAGAACAAAAAACGAAAATATATATATACATTCTATATACTTCAAGATTATTTTTGGAAAGATTATTATATATTATTTATTAAAAACCCAATTTGCATTAAATATGCATTTAAACAGATAACTTTAATTGAATTGATTGAAAAGGTAAAATGGTTAAATTTTATTTCTCTTTGTTACTTACTAAAATTCTAAACTACACATGCTATTTAATAAATTTATATGCTCAAATATGTTATTTCACTAATTAACCCAAATGATATGTATTGTGCGTAAATGTAATAAAGATAAATTTTTATCAAACATAAATATATTTTATCTTTGTTATTTTTGATTTCTTCCATCTATTAAAAATAAGGGTTAATTAGTGAAATTACATGTTTGAGCATATATATGGAAAAAATTAAAAATAACAAAGATAAAATATATTTATGTTTGATAAAAATTTATCTTTATTACATTTACGCACGATATATATCATTTTGTACGTTTATAAATATTAGAATACACGCCTAAATATTAAATTCAATTAAAAACATATTTAATTATTTAATTCTACGCTTGG